ACAAAACAAGCTAACCACCCTGGTTAACGAGACCAAGTGATTGCCAAAATTGGTAGATCTCGGATTGACTCGTCCACGTGTTGTCGCTTGTAGCACAGGACTGCTGGTTCGAGGAAGACGAGTTAGGTGGCGCATGCGCACAAACAGCAGGGATGGGAGCCGACCGACCAGTCCACCGAGCCAAAATAGACTGTTGGCTAGGAAACCAAGGGACTGTAGGGAACCGGTAGTGTATGGGAATGTGAATCAATCGATAATCAGTGATGGAATTGGATTGAATAGAACGTGGATATCAAGTTTCTTCAGTGAGCGAACCATCTCCGTCCGCGTTGATCGGGTTCTATCTCAACCATTCCCTGTGAACGCTGGTGTTCCCTAAAGTTCAATACTTGCGCCCACTCTCTTCCTTCTATTTATCAATGATCTCCTTTCCCAAACTGCCAACCCGATTTATTCTTTTGCTGCTGATACCAGCCTCCACTGCTCCCTCTCCTAACGCACTGCTCGCCATGCCCAAACCAACATCGATCGTGACCGTAGTGCAGTGAATGTATCACTGGTCAAAGGGTTACAATTTGAAACATACGGTAAAAGCTGAATACTCTCGGACTCTATTTATCTGAATACCGTCGAATACGGAGAGACAAGACCCTCGTATATCAAATACTACATCAATCTAACCACCCGTGTAGCACTCTACTAACAACAACAATGTAACGTTTGCTCCAAAAGACTAGTCTAGAGTGCACGCCTCAATCTTTCAGCCAGAAACTCCCTTCCAACTCAAGTTGTTTGTGCTCCAACCATCGATTCATTCCACTCACGAATAGACGAAGCAATGAAACAACTAACTCTGTTCAGCACCCGTGAATGAACGTAATAATTTGCTATTTAATCGTACTATCAACCTCACCCAGTGTGTGCAGATTCTATGGGGTTCGATAAGTCAGCTTTGTGATTTATCCATGATACAAATTTGAATTTGTGTGCTTCCTCCCTGACGAACACCATTTCCGAGGTGAACTCGAGTGAAAGTGTCATAGGCCCGGACTCGCTTTTAGCTTACTATTAACTGCCTGGCACATGTCCATTCAACTTCAGGGAAATGTTATGCCAACGTCAAAGGCACTTCAGTGCGGCATATGTGTGCTATCCGAGCCCTGGATATGAGCGGTATTACCTTTTTCAC